TGAAGGAAAAGAGCCTTGGATAATGGGTAACGCATCCCTATGGAGAGAGGGAAAGACTATGAGTAACGCAATCAAATGGGTGAAGGAAAAGAGCCGTGGATAATGGGGAACGCATCCCTATGGAGAGAGGGAAAGACTATGAGTAACGCAATCAAATGGGTGAAGGAAAAGAGCCTTGAATAATGGGTAATGCATCCCTATGGAGAGAGGGAAAGACTATGATTAACGCAATCAAATGNTGAAGGAAAAGAGCCTTGAATAATGGGTAATGCATCCCTATGGAGAGAGGGAAAGACTATGATTAACGCAATCAAATGGGTGAAGGAAAAGAGCCGTGGATAATGGGGAACGCATCGCTATGGAGGGAGGGAAAGACTATGAGTAACGCAAAGATGGGGGTGAGAAAAAGATGAGCTGTGAAAGATGGGTAACGCAATCCTGTAAGAAAGGAGAGGAAAAAACGACGCATATTTGGTGGTACCTTTCCTTTTCCACTCTCATTTGTCTGTAAACTTGTCAATATTTGTTGTTCCACTACCTGGACCCAAGAATCTCTCTCCTGGAAGTCAATATAACGTAAAGCTTTGTTCATTCAATATTTCAAAGAAAAGGATTAAACGATAACCCTGACAAAAACGAAAAGTTGAGAGAAATGAGTGACTCTCTGGATTATCGAACTTATTCATTTCTGTACCTCTTGTGATCCAGCTTCAAAGTTCCAGTATTTTCCATCAAGTGATATTATGGTAAACTCGAATTCTAAATTCTCTAAAAATGGAAGAAGGACAATTTATTTAAAAAACAGCATTTAAATAAATGGAAGTGACATGAAATCGTTACGAAAAACGCACGTTCAATGACTTTTACGACTGGGAGGGAGCGTTTATCGCCACTTCTTCATGCGACTTAAAAGCTATATAGCCTTGAATTCATATGTCTATGAAACGCTTATTGTCACAGGAAGGAAATGAAGGCATCCGTTGAACCATATAGACCCCTTGCATGTGACGTCAAAGGAGCTCAATTTGGAGAACAAAACAAAAAAAATTTCAATCTCCTGAGAATTGGAAACCTATTGTTTTGCCCTCCAAATTAAGCTGCATTCCGACGTACTGCAAGGGGTCTATTCATGTGTTTATATTCATGTTAAACAAAGAAATGATATTCTAGAGAATAACACGTGGTCTGAAATCGAAAAAAAACTTACGTCTTAGGAAGAAGTCTAATTACCTGTATCGGTGTCAAATCTGCCACTCCCACTCTTAGCTCTTCGATGCCCTTTCTTCTTCAAACTCGAAGTCTGTGAGTCATTTCTCATAATTGGTGGCACAGCAACACCAGTGGTTGCCGATGCCAAAGCTTTCTCAAGCTCTTCATAGTCTATTTCACATGATTTTGTATGTTTACTTCTCTTATTTTTCTTCTTGACTACACTAGGAGCGTTTGGGTCTCCCTTACTTGAATTCACTGACGAATTTGTGTTTGTCGATGCCGCAGGCATCATCGCTTGGTTTCCTACATTTGCAAGAGCAGTATCAAGGTCTACAGGTCCATCTACTTGAGAACAGTCACTTGCAAGACCGTTTTGTATTACGATAGAGTTTTTTCCTAAAGAGTCGTTTCCGCTATTGTTGTTTTCTGATAAGAATTCGACAGGTGTTGTGGGTCTAGAATCTGAGGCCTGTGATTGGCTGGTTGTTGTTGATGCTTTTGGAGGCCTTTGACCAGGGATCTTTACTGTTGTGTGTTTGAGATTGAGTGTTTTTTCATGTATTTCTGCCATATAATCCTGAGAAAAAGAAAAAAAATTAAACACCACGCTACGATAATTCATATCTTATAATATATAATATATTAAGTTGGTAGCCCATAAAAAACACATTCATAGGCTGCATGCACGTACAAACTTGACAAACTACACTGAAAAGTTATTGCCTATAAATTATGCATGAAGGAAGGATAATCTTTTTTTCATATTTCGTAAAGAAAATCTATTCTCATTCGAAAACGTACTGTTTCTGGAACTGCAGAGAGCAGGAAGGGGCTGGAAGGGCAATAAGTCTCTCTGATACCCACTAAGTTTTTCAAGTTGTTTTTCAAGTCTTTAGCCTCCCTCACGCTTAGTCATATATATGCTAGTTTTTTATATTTTCAAATCCACACACCAAACGTTTAGTCTTAAACATATTGGCCTAATATTTTTGCAATCTAAGATCTAAGCCCCCCACCCACATGCATATGTACTTTCCAGGGTGCTCCATGGTATTTGTATTCTCACTTTATTGCCTGTCAAATTTGATTTTGATAAGTATGCAGCCCTGAGAAACTTAAAGATCTCTTATGATTAAACTATGTAAGATGTTATAACTAGCCAAAAACTAGTGTGAGCTGCGTCGGTGTTTCTAATGAAACAGTAATGATGAAAAGGTAAATTATACACCGTGAAAAGATGAAAAGACTGACGTTTTGGATGCTAGTCCTTCGTCGGAGTAAAGTACTCCGACAAAGGACTAGCGTCCGAAACGTTATGTAAGATGTTAATGATGTCATTTTAATAGTTTCAATACTTACATGTAAGTTAGGATAGTAAACTAACATTCCATTGTCTAGTAATGTCACATACTTCTTTTTCCATTCTCGTTTCATTGAGTTGGCACTCCTTTTATAAAGATAACCCTACATATAGGAAAAGGACATTATTAACATTGAAATGTTGAGAAGATGTTAACGCTGTTTTGATGAGGTGCAAGGTGGTATAATTGCAGGGTTAATACATTATTTTCCACCGCGGTGCAGCAAGAGTTCCAAAGCTAAAAGAGATTGGGAGATTAGTTTATGCAATCTGACATTTAAGTTCCTATCATAATATAACAATAATTGTCATACCTGCTTGATGGGAATATCCCGTCCACTGCCAACATCTGTGTCTGGAAAAACCTCCTTTTCCTTTTTATCTTTCTGTGAACAGCAAAATCAAAAATATTTATTGGTGGTAGTTTAAGAGTATTCACTTTTTTGAATTAATATTACGATACACTAGTTTTGTATTCAATGCATACCACTGTTTTTGAAGACCACAGACTCATTTACACAGGCTTAGCCTCCTTTATAAGCCAGCTGTTCACAGATACCATTAACTCTGTGAGATTGTAAAACATACGCATTGCTCAAGCTGCACATTCTTTGCATCACAGTTGACTTTTGCAAATGATTTGCAGGGCAAAGCCTGTGCAGATAAGTCTCTAGTCATAAAACACAGTGGTATTTACCAAATGAGAAAAGGAACTATTATCATTTTAACAAATTATCATATTTTCGATACGAATTGTCAAGAAAGAAAAAAAATTCCACAGCTGTTTTGAATTAGCTGCTGTTTATTATAGTTACCCTCATCTATAACAACCTATATACTAAACCACCTTGCGTAACATATAGCTGCTTTATCTATCTTTTTCTATTACCAACTAAAAACAAGTGACCTCAAAGGAAACATCTCAAACCACATGAAAAACCATTACAAATGTAAAGCTGTCAATCAATGGGCTAATCGTTGCAAAATGTTGTAAGGATATTGCAAGGAACTTTATTTTCATATTTTGTCTTTTGTTTCCCATCTGGTATTAATTAAGTTTTTTTTTAAATCTAAATGTAAAAGAAATATGAGTAGCATAGATTTTTCTATATAAAAAAATTCCTACAAAGAAAGTGTAATTGACTATCATAATTTTATATTCTTAGATTTAAATTATAAGATATTTGTTTAACTTAATATTTTTATCTTTCTTGTTTTGCAGTGTTGCTGAGTATTGCTTTCATACTTTTCACTTAAAGCTCTAAAGTAGTCTGATATTTTGAGCCTGGAACACTTTTGCTAGCAGGGAAATACAAAAGAAATCACCTCACATTCCATCCAAAAACCTTTCAAAAGTGTGGTTACTTTCGTATATTCCTTTTGTTCAGAAACAAAATTTGAGTAAAAACCCCACACTTAATTTTCATTAAAAAAAAAAAAAAGAAAAAAAAAGGAAAAAAAAATCCTGATGTCTTAATAAAAGAAAAAGAAAAAAGTAAAAACTAATGAATTTGATTGTCTGGTTTCAACAATGCCCAAACACTTGACCTAAAACTTGCCAATTTTTTCATAAACTCTATCATGCAAATATAGTATTCATAACATATTCATACAACATGCATGTCAATCACCAATCACTTTGCATAAATGATAGGAACAACTCAATATCCATAAATGGAAGAAAAAAGGGTGGAAGAATAGACCAGTTTCGAGTTCCAAATTACTGCTGTGTTCCTTAATTATACACACTCATTTACACAGGGTTAGCCTCGAATCGGTGTCTAAATATTCACAAATACCAACAGTAAAGTAAAGAATGCACAACTTCATCAATACACTTTGAAATTCAACAGACCTTGACTGGAATATGTGAATGTTCTGCACAAAATCAAGGCTAACCCTGTGTAAATGAGTCTGTGATCAAGAAACACAGCGGTAATTTGGAACTCGAAACTGGTCTATTGGGGAAGTAATATTTTTGCCTTAAAAAATAACTAAAAGAATTGTCCTTGTTTTATGAGGGTAGAATTTTATAATACCCAGTGCATCTCAAAGGAGAGGGGGAGGGGCAGGGGATGAGGAGGGAGCTGAGCCATACTGCCATGGTGGTAGACAAACAACTTTTATTTTACTTACCGAGCTAAATAACATGGTTCTCCTTCTTGTTGATCGTTTTGAAGTTGATGATGGAGTCGATACCAGACTATTGTTCCCACTATTTCCAGGACTGGAGGAAAGTACATTGCTTTGATCTCCATCTTTTGGGAGTGGAGATTGGAATTCATCATAGGACTTTAGTACTGGTACTTCTTTAGACTGGATTAACTTCTCAATAGCTGAAACAGAAATAATAAACACACTCAATACTAATGTACTGTAGAAAAGGCAAGAGCTAGACCTCTGGTTACCACCTGTTTATATTGTTCGTTCCCTGTGTCAATGTGTCAACAGGGTGTCCTGTTACACTGTATCGCAACAGCAACACAACATCTACCCACAAACTTTGATCACTAATCTGCTGACATATGATCACTTATTTACCATCAAATAACTACATGACTTCCAACCCAGCGATACTCTACCAACTACCCACAAACCAACAACCAATTATACATTAACATAGTGACATACTATCAACAACCTACCCAACAATCTCTACTACCCACTGACCCTACCAATAACCCACCAACCCACCAATAACCCACTGACCCTACCAATAACCCACCAACCCACCAATGAACCACTGATATATCACCAACCCACCAAYAACCCACTGACCCTACCAATAACCCACCAACCCACCAATAACCCACTGACCCTACCAATAATCCACCAATCAACCACTGATATATCACCAATAATAAAACTTCCAATCTAATATCATCTATCAATATCCCAATAAATTGATACAGTAGCTCACTACACACTCAACAGTATACAAAAAACTCATTACCCAACACCAACCATTGAACTGGCACATTATACAATTTACATGGGTATTGCTGTAGTTGCACCTTATTTACATTGCAATCATTTTTGTGTGATTTATTTTCTCTAAACCTTCAATAATTGCTGTACGGACATGTATGTATGTAGACAAAGAACAACATGGTGTAAACAATATAGGGACTACTTTAGATCACACCGGAAGAAGATTACAGATTCACACACTGAATTCTATTTATACTATCGCGTTAATATAATTTTTGAATAAAGCAATCAATCTTATGAATAAAAGACATGAATCGAAAGTATAGAAGGGTTGACATCAAACTTGGAAAATTAAGAAGCCAAAATGAAAGTCTTAAGAATAATTAATAACAAAAAGATGCATTGTTTCCAAGAAAGCTGATTCACTTTCCTGAAGCCAAAGAAAAAATATACTATTCAGGCTTTGTTGGGTATTAAGTACATAATAAATAATATCAACAAAATTGTTCAATGTCTTTTTTCATTATTCACAAGTGTCTATTATTCACATTTAAGGATTAAGTGCTGATGCTTTCAAGACATCCAAACTAAATCAAAAGAATCATATGGGCCTTCACCTAGTTGGGGCATACTTTGATGTGATTGTCAATCACTCAGATTTTTGTATTTCGTTACTACGTTTTTTAACTTTTCTACTATTTTGCTTCATTATTACTACTTGGTATTAGCACTCAGTGGAAGTTTACATGTAATAAATTAAATAAATATATAAGTAAATAAATTTGTACATTTCACACAATATAGTATGTTTATAGTTTTCAACACAAACAAGTAGCACTTCATAGAAAGTTTATCTTATAAAAAAATGATCTTCATAGCCAAAGTATGCCATCTTTTTCGAAAAACACATTCAAATGCAAAAGAAAAAGTTTTCTAATGAAGTATGAGACTTTTCTAGCTTTAACATTATACTGTCATTGAGAGTTTTTCATGATTGCTTGGCAAAGGAAAGATCGTAAATGGCTATTTTGGTTACCTGAATTTAAAAGGAACCACTTTGCACTGTTTTCAATGATGTTTGTATATTATTTGATGTTGCATGATGTCAAATCTACCATTTATGTATGAATAACTAGAAATATAATACATCGTTACTACAGAAGCTAATATCAACCATAACAAATAACTACAAATAAGTGTACACAAATTAAATTAAAAGTATTTACTTTGTTTTAATGAATGATGCTACAGTCTTAAATGAAGTTACTACTTGTAAGGCACAACAATCAGTGACTAAAATGTGGGATAAGTAGGTATTAATTCCAAATATTTAAAGTGATAATTACCATGTGTGACAAATGCCAATCAAGGATTTATCCTTCTTGTTGTACACAGTTGGAGAAATGATACTTGAATATTCATAATGATGATATCAATTCATGCCTTTGCTTTGCTTCCCGAAAAAGTGTTTAGAACATTAATACCAAACATATTGCTATCTATTACTAAAAACAGATAAAGATATCTCAAAACATTTCTACATACTGGCTACTACATTCAATCCAGAATTTTCGCGCTGAATAAGTTCTCGTGTATCATTGATAACTTCTTATTGAAACACGAGTTAACAAATAAACGAATTTAGATTTTTAAAAAACACACGGGAAATACTTTAGAGTTATCTACAAGTTTATAAGGTCACAGGTTGCAAGGAATAAGAATTTTCAAACATATTTTTTAAATGCTTCAAATAGTTACTAACATTATCTCAAGTCAAAGGTTTCACGCTTGTTTATGTAGTTCTAACATTGCATCGACATGTAACTTTAAGTAGGTTACCTTTTTTATAATTGAAGCTTTAAAATGCAAAGTTTCATTTACAGAGAGACAGGTAAATCCCCCATTGACAATTAAATTTTATTGTAAAGGAGTAGGATAGAGTTTGGAGTCTTAATTAGGGGAACTTATAGACGCAATGGTATGGGGCAGTCGGTAACCAATAAATCATTGGTGTTGTCACTTCTGGGGCACGCAAAACACGGTGGAAAATCAGCTAAATTTACGATAATGTTAATTCTAAACAGGGTCATGGCAGGTTCAAGTTATAAACCTAATTAAATAAATAAATAAATACAGCAGGCTGACAATAAACATGTCTAATAATTGTGAACGACTTTTTATGATGCATATTTCAACAGCGCGATCAATCACAACACTTCCTGCGATAGATCTAGAGATCGATAGAAATCTTGAATTCTCAAAATGTTGATACAGTGAATTTATCAATATAATATTCATTCGAGGACTGGCTTTATGTGAACAAAGTATTTACACCACACTCACCTTCCAAATCAGTAATATCTTTAATCACATCGTACGAACCAGAAAGCTGAAAGCTCCGTCGAATCATGGTAGACTTGGAATGAAAGTTTAATATAAATTTCTTATTTTAAAAATTGATTCCTTCTCAAAAGATTCTAGGGTTTAGAAAAGTTCCGAGTGTCACAACGCGCCCACTTTTCGACCGAGGCACAAAACACCAAACGAGAGTTCCATTTTATAGCAATATCTGGTACAAAATTTTGATGTTAATGTCTTCTTGAAGTCAACAGTGGAAAATATCCATATTAAAAACGATGATATATTCTTTCTGTTCAACACCTGTGGGATCGTACAGTAGCAATGGAATTTCAGCCGCTCTTGGTTTACAACAGACTCGGTTCCGCTCAACTCTTCTCCCAAAAACACCGAAGTGCAGTGCTAATTTATTATTTTCTCTGTTCGTTCTTCATCCACAAATAATTATAGTTCGTAAGTTATCAAGGCTACAAGCTCGTCTAGCCGTACAGAATCCAAGAGAATCCGCTCCGTGATGACAAAGGGAACAACTTGAGATCAGTATTCTGAACAACTTTATTTCCACATGCATGCCATAAACCAAAATATGCTAATACACGATCACGAGCCTGCAAACTGCAAACTACTTCCGGCCAGCTGCTTCGATCTTTTTTCAAAAAAGAAGTTTTGACGCCAAAATATTTGTAGACTTTTGTCAATCAAAAAAGCAAGAAATAACAAACGTGCTCTATTTACCTTTAATTCTTAATTTAGAGTTTAAATGTAACTCATGATGACGTTATTATATTGCAAACGTGTTACTACGAAGGCACGTACATTTTACTTCAGCAATTCCGGTTCTATGACGCGATTCCTTAAATATACATACGTTTATTTTATCATTTCTAAGGTAGCTAAGGCCGGGCCTTTGAATCTTTACCCTCTATTAAATGTTATATCCAATCTGATACGCTGGGAATTCAGATGAGGCTTTTCATTATTCCCTTTATAGAGTAAGAATACTGCTTAACTCCAAGGAAGAAATGTAGCCTGAGGGATTGTATTTAGGATCTTGGGCAGTTTTTCCCCAGGCAGCTCGTACCGAGATATTTTATATCATTCATTATCTTCGTTATTTCGTTCACAATAAGAATCAGCTAATGACTGTGACACAATTATATTTAAATAATGGTCAAAATTTTTGTTTTAAAAGAGAAAGTCATTAAACGTTTCTATTGGTCAAAACCAAACCACATTATTTTAATTTTTATTATTATGAGATGGTTTTGAGATAAGCGAGTACACCAACATACTTTCAAGCTATTTTCATTCAAAAAATTCTAATGAGATAAAATTGAGAAAGGAAGAATGCTTAAAAGGCATAGTTTTCGCTAAATTTTATTGTAACAAAAAAAAAACAACCTAGCTTGCTGCAAGCTGAAACTAAAACAACGATTGGAATTCTAAAATACCTAGAAAGATTAAAGGACTCTGGCAGAGAAAAAATATCAATAGAATAAAAAATCTCTTACATGAAAGTCAACTCTGCTCTTACGGTATCATATCTAGTATCGGATAAATATACTCAGTATATATCTTGAGAAACGAGGAAACAGTTCATAATTTCCTTCCTCGAATTCGCTGAAACTACAGAACTAGTTAAACAAAAAGGCTCGTATGTGCTTATAAATAAAATATGGATTGAAAATTTCTAATAATAGTTCTGACATCTACAATATTACACTGGTATAACGTGCTAAATTTAACATTAGTTGGTGGTAACGGTGTGAGGTTCTAGATACGTGAGTGTATAAAAATACAAGACGTTCTTTTCGTTATAACTTACTACATTCTTAAATATATCGACAAATATTCGTGTGCCAAATTTCAAAGTAGCCAAAAAAGTCCCAAATGAAATCAAGATTACTCATGAGAAAAAGTAATTTTAATTCCATAGCAAAATTTACCATTTTTTAGAGGAAAAACCGCGGGTTGTCAGGCAACACACGACAAATAAATGTCGCCCTCGAATAATACGAACCAAACACATACAAGAATTCGAGAATCGATTCTCCATATAATTTTCCTTCGTATCCTATGTAAACGAACAATTAATGTTTACCTTGAACGCAAATAGAATATTCAAATTTAAACGCACGAAAAGTCAGTGAGGAAAAAAAAGCGCATTTTCAGCTCCTTAACAAATTATAAACTCACAATTAGTCCATTAGTGTCTCACTCACTACAAAGGTATCGGGAATATAATGTAAGCGATATTGACGTCTCCGTAGAATTTAAAACACATGAATTTTGAACTCGGCCAAAGAAAATTGACAAGCAAATCCACTGCAAATACAGTAGTCCTCAGCAACCAAGATGGCACGTACTGAGACGACCATTCAGTGATTTCATTGAGATAAARAATATTTTATCTTCAGTCTGTATGGATGTTCTTTTTGATATTAAGAGTATTAAAACCTACCATTGTCGACGGTAGTAAAATCGGCGTACCCACGCGTTCCAAAGAAATTCAACTTTGGTACGTGAATATGCATTTCATACACTGGAGGTCCAAGCTATCTACTTTTATCCTTCAAGGTGTCCCCAAACTACACAGAATTTCGTAGTTACCAGATAGTTTCATCAAAAAGAAGTTCAGAAACACATTCTAAAGCCATGCCAAGTGTCTCTAATAAGCCGGTATGGGTAAAGAACTAGTGATAGTGGCCTTCTGGTAGTCAATATAGAGGTCTATCAGTCTTGGCGATATACTAAACAATCTCGTCCAAATAAGGCAATACACCGGATGTCAGTGGGGATGACCCGGTAACACCCGCGGTCGTTGGCCCACTACTCCGCTAAATACTGCCGCCGGTTTTGGGCTAGTTTTCCGGTAATATAATAATGTCAACATCTTTTAAACACAACAATCTTCAATAGAAAATCATAATATTATATTATCGCATATTCTTACGACTTTGAGTTTTCTTGTACCCTAGACGTCTCAGACCTATGACGTATCACTTGGCAGGGCTCGTATTGGCAGTCACGACTAAATAACGTGAAAGATAGGGTCAAGTAATGATTGATATTACTAGCCAAGACGTGATGTATATATCCCGCTAAATACAATCAATATGGTTCAATATAAAGAGGTTTAAACGTCTAGTATATCATGGTCGGTGGTATGATCAATGACAACATCACCCCACTTTAGAGCCAACAACTATTATACGACAACTATAAGATTACAGATATTAATTATAGAATTACGAATATAATACCTTTCGAAAAGAGGGAGATAAATCTATTTATCTCCAGATTAAACAAGTTAGCGTTTAGTAGGCCGTGCCTTAGATTTTTTCAGTCTCCGCTTGTATTTTTCAGTGCTGGAGTTTTGAATCCAATCCAACAATAGACTCAACAGTGGATTGAGAAGAAGACAATTGAGATCACACTAAACAAACAAACTCTTTACGTATTTCCTGTCTACATAATACATCTGAAGCGGGAATTAGCTTATTAACACATGATTCATGGTGTTTTTAGAGCAGGGGGCCGAGCTACGTCATCGAAAACAACATTCCTAATAGATAACAACTTCACTGTGTTTGCTATCTCTCGCCTACCAGCATAAAAATCTTTTTCGTAAGTGAAAGATCTGAATCACATAAGTCTTAGACAGATTTGACATCGACACAACAAATCCTTCTTCCTCCTCTTCCACCACCCTTGAGAAGACGGGATAATCTTTACTATGGGAACGTGGGCTGTGTGGGTAAATGACTGGACGTGATAGCGAGTGGAAAAGGAAAGGAAATGAAATGAAGGAAAGCAACATGAGCCTCCGTAGCCCATAGCAACTGCTGCTATATATAACATCATGGGTTCAGTTTACCAAAAAACGTCAGAAGACTGTTTTAGAAATTTAAAAATCTACTTTTCATTATAGAAGTTTTCGTGTTTCAGCGCCGACCTCGACAACCTTTAGCAGCTGTCTAGGTTCTTGGCTTTCGCCACGAGATAAACAATAACCCAGATGGTTTAAAATTTGATGGAGGAATGCCAAACAATGTCTGCATCACAGAAACATGGAAAGCCTTGCTTACCACGAGACGGAAGACAGAATAAAAACATTACGATATGAAGACTCTATGAGAAACATAAGGTACGCTTTCTTTTCTTTTCTTTTTTTTTTTACCCCACCAAATGTGGAAACATGGAAAGCCTTACTTACCACGAGACGGAAGACAAAAGTAAAATATTACGATATGAAAACGCTATGAGAACCAAAAGGTACGCTTTCTTTTCTTTTCTTTCTTTTTTCTTTTCTTTTTTTTTTTTTTTCCTCCAAATGTTTCGGATAAAAAAATTCCTGCATCCTAATCTGTAACAGGGCGTTGCCCAATAAACACAGCATTCGTTACGGCCCAGCGTGAGGAAAGCCGACAATTTCCCTGTATAATACTATCTTTATTTTCCCTTACCTGTCTGGAATATTGCATCCACATTATCACCAGTGAGAGCAGAAGCTTCCATGTAGACACACTGCTTCATATCATTTATTAGTTTCTTTATTCGTTGTATGCTTACTGTTCCTGGGTAGGAGTCATCGATACCATCTGAGAGAAGAACCGGAATGGATAAAATATTAAGAAGGAAGAAGAATGGACGAAAAATAAAGCCATTTCAAAGGAGGTTGGTGAAAGTTAAAGTGCTATCACCCTTCTGACAATATTTGCAGTATTGATTCTACATGGGGTAAGATGTCGAATGACCTGAAAAAATTTCATAGTTTGAGTGCGGCTTCTTGAAATTATGAAGGTTTTTCCATGCCATATGCTAATGTTGTGACGTTTGAGGAGGCATTTATAGTTGTTTGTTGTTCCTCGTAATTTGGAACACCGGCTTCTATGTGAAAACTAACTTGCTATAATTTCTATAAGAGCAATGGGAAAAACAGTGACTTCCAAATTTTATTTATGTGTGCCAGTAATGTTTTGTATATTAAATTATTACTCCTCATACGTCATAACAATAGCATATGGCATGGAAAAACCTTTATAACTTCAAGAAGCCACACTCAAACTATGAAATATTTTCGGGCTTTTCAACATCTTACCCCATGTAGAATCAATACTGTGAATATTGTCAGAAGGGTGATAGGCACTTTAAGTTGCATGCCAAGCCCGAAATGCACTATGAGTGATGTGAATGCAATTACCAAAAGGTCACAAAAAGTTTTTTTTCTCCCTACCTCTCATTGCAACCAGAATCACAGGTACATCAGATATATTCCTGTACTGAGCCATTTTAGCATAGTATCCTGGGATCATGCTGTAGCTTAGCTCATCATCCAAGCTGAACACGAATATCACAGCATCAACCCATTGAGTGAACTGGAGGAAAACAAACAGAAACTCATTAACATGGCATATTATATAGATTTTTGATGGTGGCAGTGAGTGGCCTAAATGCAAATCAATAATTCCTATCTACCCTCAAATGGCTTCCATGCCTCCCAAATGGTCATTTCACTCTCAAATGGCTTCCATGTCTCCCAAATGGTCATTTCACTCTCAAATGGCTTCCATGCCTCCCAAATGGTCATTTCACTCTCAAATGGCTTCCATGTCTCCCAAATGGTATTCAACTTCAAATAGCCTCCATGCCTCTCAAACCATATCTACCCTCAAATGGCTTCCATGCCTACCAAATGGTGCTCACCCTCAAATGGCTTCCATGCCTACCTATGGTATTCACTCTCAAATGGCTTCCATGTCTTCCAAATTGTATCTACCCTCAAATGGCTTCCATGCCTCCCAAATGGTATCCATGCACAAATTGCTTCCATGCCTCCCAAATGGTATCCACCCTCAAATGGCTTTCATTCCTCCCAAATGGCATCCACCCTCAAATGGCTTCCATGTCTTACAAAATGGTGTTTACCCTCAAATGGCTTCCACGCCTCCCAAATGGGAATTATGTGTCTCAAGTGTGACCCATGCCACACAAATGGTATCCATGTCTCCCAAATGCCATCAACACCCCTCAATTGGCTTGTATGCCTTCCAAATAGTATCCATTCTCCTCCATGCCTCTCAAATGCTATACATGGCTACTATGGTATCAGTATCGAGTATGTTAAGGCCTGGTTTTATTCCTTTATTTCACGAAATTTATTTTTATTTCTCGTTGCCACATTGATAGATCTTTTCACAAAGAAAAACTAGGCCTTAACATACTTGGTGTCCCCAAATGCCTTTCAAATGGCTTTCATAATTCCCAAAGTGGTATCTCTTAAAGGCTTCATTACAATAATTCTAATGAGCCAACATAACAATACAAAAGGCCAACCCATAAAAAATGCCTTATTACTAGTCAAGTACAATACCTGGAGATCTGGTGGACCGGTCTCGTCTCTTATAAGTAACAGATGACTTTGACCATCATGAAGAACTTCTTTCTTATATCTACCACTGAAAGACTCCATTTTAGGATAGATACCAGTCAGATATCTTTGAACAAGAAATGACTTGCCAGAAACTGAGCTCCCCACAATACCCTGGAGAATATTAAGAAAACATTTTAGCTCAAATAATTCCATTTTTACCAATTTCAAATTGACTCTAGTTACACTGTATCTGGATATGATTGTGACACCCCACCTAATGAGTATCCACAATAGGGGTTCACAGATCCTGCCATCCCACTCATTTTTGCTGACAATTCTGCTATTTTGTCCTACTTTTATATTAACGATATACACCACTAGATTGCACACCATATTTCCATGAAAAACTTCGTAAGAAATTGCACAAATTTGCACAAATTAGTAAGTTCAGTAGATTGTAGACCTACAACACTTTGAACTAGTTTGTAAAAGTTTGTTAGTTAACTTTTTCACAGATAAAATTATGCCTATACACTCTAGCGAAAAGTGCCAGTTTTGAAATCCAAAACAATGGTGGCTAACTCATGTTTTCAGCCTAATTTCAAAATTCTTTGTATCTATTTATTTGATCAGTAATAGGTTTAGACTAAAACATTTAGACTTCTAGTCCTCACAGTCTATCACTTTCAGTCAATAATCTATTTGCCCTTCAGCCTAATGAGCTTGTGACTTGTTAACCATTTAGGCTTCAGGTCTAATTGTTCATTAAAATTTCTTATACAGGGATTAATAACAGCATGTCATTGGACTTCAAAATGTCCAGTCAGAATTGGATCTTGCAAAGTCAAAACTTTGTCTTACTGGTCCTTTTGACCAGTAACATTGGAAAAACTGAGCTAAAACTAATTGCCTGATGGTCTTGGCCAGATATCATGGCTTGTATTATCTGAACTTTATAAAATAATAATATATATATAGCGATGTTTCAGTATAGTTCAAGACCACTTAACAACTAATATGCATAAAACAAATTAATATAACTATCTACAATATATACTAACAATTTATATAAATAAGTAAATGGAATGGATGAACCAACAAATGAGTGAGTGAATGAGTGAGTGAGTGAGGTAGTGAGTGAGTGAGTGAGTGAATGAATGAATGAAAATACATAAATAAAAGACATTATTCTAAAAAAAAAATCAAGATTAATTAATCAAGTACTTATGACCAGTTAAAAAGTTATAGAGTAAATAAAATAAAATAATTAAACAATCTGGTTCATATTCTTATATGACAACTCTCCCACCCAAATGTAATCTGTGGTGACTTCTGCAGTTTCATCCTTCATATTCCCTTCTCTCTCCTTTACTCCTGTTTGAACTTAAATTCCTTATGCATTTTTTGGAATCTTTCTGTGGGTCGCATATCCTATTAGAAGGATATGCTGTAAAACAATGCAACAATACATATTACTTACAAGTCTCAGTTCCAAGTTACTGCTGATCTTGCTAGCCGTAAACTCAGGACTATTAAGGAAGGTTTCTGAAAAGATAAAGAAAAAAGTTAGTAACAGAAAATGTCCTCCATTTTCATGTTATATCATCAAAGCCATGCTGTTGATGCATGTACTTTGCAATGGATTTCACGCAAGGTTTAAAAATTTGTTAGTACTACTGCTGATACGTGTACATAATTCAAATTTATTCTCTTGGAAATGATGACAATTACATAGAGGAGCCAAAGTTCCAAAGCTGGTCAGCAAAGTTCAACCATTTATTATGAAGTTAGAAATGACTGAAATGGCTTTTGTGTTTGGAAATGATAGTAATATTGTATTTTTTCTGATAAATGCTATAACAAGAATAGCTGAAACGTCATGTTTTATAAAATTTATGTGTTTTCACCACAAAATTTTCAATTACTATAATTCTTGAATAACTTATAATCAATGATTAAAATATGTGTAAATTCTACTTATAATAGATACATATAACTTTCTGGATGTAAATAATTCTGTTAAAATAATCTTTTATCATGCTAATAATGTAAGTTGATACAGAGTCTTGATTTCCACTTAGCTGCTGCTGGTGTCTCTTTATTACAATTTATTAACTCATCACATGTGAAATGTGATAAGATTCTTATCATTATAGGACATTGTATAATCTTTACATCTTATGTTTTTTAATATCAATAATGGTATAATTACTACAAGGCTATACATGTATGTATACTTTCAGTATTGTATTAAATTTCTCTAGATGAGCTCCCTAGTTCTGGAAGAGAACGATGGGGAAAAATATGGTTTAACAAAAATTCAATACATTGATTCCGGACATTTAACTTGTCAAAAAAATAAAGATAATAGATAGTTTAATTTTTTTCTGGAAGTTGTATAAATTGAATAAAAAAAATAGTTTTGATAATTATTATGAGGTAGATTAGCTACAATGAGGTAAATAATGTTTATGAGAATATATTGACCTTATGTTGGCCTGCACAGGAAGTTGCCAATCAACTAAGACAATGACGACTATACCTATACAAAAAGCCCTCTTCAGACATTTTGGTTTCTAAATTTAAAGCAATAAAATAAGCATTTATTGATACTTATATCTTGTATTATTGGTTTATAATCCTTGAGGATTATTCAACAATATAACTGTGTTACTGCAGATCTTTTGAGACATTTGTCTGTTTGTCTGTCACTAGCAAACTGGAGATGAGTTGAATAATTGGACATAGACGCTCACTAAATGTATATGTCTATATATAATTACATCTTAATATAAAACACATTGTAATTGAGTCTTGGAATGAATAAATATGCCCAAATTTCTTTCCGTTTTCTTTTTTTTAAGAAACATTCTAATCCAAGTTTGAATGCGCACTTATGTAAGCATGTTTTTCATCATTGGAACCTGAGTATTGAGAATTGATTTTGAATTAGAATTTAAAGGCTAGACATTATGACCTACAAATGCAGATTGTCACATTGCCTTAAGTAGAAAAATGTCAACAAAATATTGAGCTATTAAAAGAGTCAATGTCCTGGGGCCTTTCCATCGAAGGGAAGGGGAGAAAGGTCAAGAAAGATTTTAAAATTTTTTGGGGGTGAAAAAATTGCGATAGACAGCAGAAATAGTTGTAYAAATGAGGGAATAAATCTGAACTAAATTACTTTAGGGGGATAGTACATTTTCGATGAACCTTTGAACCTTTTCTCAATGAGAAAATAAAAGACACTTAACGACATTAACGTCTTGCAAGCGCGAAGCCTCTGAAATCCAAGACGTTAATTACATTGGTTTTAACTTAAATATATTTGCGGATCAGGAAATGTTTAAGAAAGATCAAAAATATTACAAATATTGTAATATGAGTGGATTTTAATTCTCGACATTTTTTATGGGTTCTATTCAGGATAGAGTTTTAATGACGGTCGATAGAATAGATCTCTTGTTAGAACAAAAAAACGTGAATTGAAAACTTCATAATGCAAAGACAAGCGACAGCTATATTCTATAAAATAGACCTTTCGATGTAAAGAAARCAGGACTTTTTAGTAAATTTGTAAAAACAATTAATCATAAGCTTATCTATAAGAGTGATTGGTTATTCTGTCAGTTCTTCATCAATCAGTAGCGACAAGTTGTCAGACGTTTTGGGCGATATCTCTAGAGTATATTTATGCAACTCTAAAATTATCTAAAAGCCTTAAAGATGTTTTTCCCGTTACTCCTTTTTTCTTGTAAATATAAAATACTCTAAACGAGAGAGTAATGTTCAGCACCACAGATAACTCAATCTTTTTTTTTTTTCAATGTTTTCACAACGTTTCACGCTTGTACGCACTAATGTGAAGCAGTATTTTTTTCAAAAATTATAAAATTCCCTACCATAAAGATCCAATTTTGATGAATGAAAAAGGTTTAAGATTTTCAGCGCTATTGATGATTTAAATGATATACTTTAGAGAATAACTGTGTTTACGTTTGAGAGTTTTTGAGTCAATAGAGTGATCGATCTGTAGCTACCTGTTCTCGTAGTAAGCGCGTTTTGGTGAAGAAACTTCGAGGGCTATTCAATATCACTTTACCTCGATAATCTGGACCCTAAAAACCTTGGAGAGTCTAGATTAATCTGTTATAAGATAAACAAGAAAGGCTTACCTTCTAAACCGTTGACCAATTCTCGCATTTTTCGTTTCAAAGGAACGTTATCGACTTGCTCTAGCAGTTCGGATAGCTGTTGAATTCGAGGATAAAACGATTGGAATCTTTTGGCCTCCTGGCAAATGACCATTGCCTCGAGAGAATCACAAACAGGCATTCTTTAAAACGAAGAAATCAAACTGCGAACAACATTTTTTCTATGAATCAACTCATCACAATGATGAAAAGGCCGAACTAAAGTACGTCGATCTTCAGCTGTTTGGTACTAACTAAACTAGGTCACCAGGCCGTGACTAAAGTCTAGACAATGGGGTGGTCCCTTGGGTCAATATTGCTACCAATCTTTCAGATAAACCACCCCACCCCTAAAATTTTCGAATCTAAACAAAGTATTTTTAAGTCAAAATCTAAGACCCTTCGCTTCTTTCTCAAGCACTGCTGTATTTTTTAAATATTTGGTTCCTTTTCACCACTTGGACGGTACAGACATCAAATACAAAAATCTATCCCAACGGGGTATCCCTAGGGGTATGCAGAATACTAAGTTTCGAAATGCTTCAAGGAACCCTTGAACTCTTTACGTTCCAGGATTCAATTTTCTTAAATAGTTAGATTTTATAGTAAAAAGTTAGGACTCAAAACCGAAAACTTGCTCAAAAAGGATGTACTTATACGTCGTTGTTAACTGACTTATGCATGTACAAAGTATTTGGATTATGCCATTAATCTTCTTATCGCGGTCACGTGCATATATATATTCTATTAAGAAATCCTTAGATGAGCTGAGCTCGGCAAGATTTAGATTGGTTTGGCATGGTGAACACATGGGGTTGTCAACATAAACGAAGTGACGAATAGAAAATCGAAATAGCGATGCCAATAACAGCTGAGACCACTATAGGTTCGCTTTCTAACCAAAACATACATTATTGTCGTATAGTCTCCAGCAGATTTCTGCTTCAARCATTCAGGAATTAGTATTGTTCAATCTGTGGTAAAATATTTCCGATTCTATTTAGTGCATATGACCTATGTAGACCCCCTACAGAAACACCTTGTCAGACCACACCCAGTGTAACATAATACATAAATAAAAAGCAGGGACTTGGAAAATCTCTTATTTGACTATTTTTACATCGAGACTAAGTCATCGAACCTTTATGAAACAAGACTGAATTGAAAAAGCTACTCAGGTGTCATTTTAAATGATGGTTTCTGTCAACCATAACTCAATTTAGATTTTCAGTTCTGTTCGGTTATATGCAGCGCAAGTATAAAATAGGCTCACCAAAGACGAGTCAATATAAAGGTGGCAGCCACCTTAAACCGGAGGCATTTTCGAGAGCAAGTTACTTTTTTCAAGGTATTATTATTATTATTCATTTCTTTCGGGTTTTTTTCTAATGAGAAACATACACTACAGCACGTACACGGCACGGTACGGTACAAAAGCCGTACTTCGAAATGACTTCCCATTGTCTTCCAGTAGTCATTCACTCACAACGCAAAGTTACAACTACGGAATTTCCCCCGTGTCGTTTCTCACTCATAAAAAACAAATTTTTAAATTCAGAGTGTATTTTAATTTTCAGTTGTTATTATTTCAGGCCGTCAAATAACATCAGTTGATTAGAGTTGTTGAGTTACGCACGAACCGGGTGAAAAGATTGTTTAGAACGGGTAGAAAGGTGTAGATCTAGAAGGAATTCGAAACCAAGAACTCGGGAAAACCATGACACTTTTCATTCAACTTCCTCAAATATGAAGTGTGCTGAAGATACGCTTGGAAAAGCAGGAGTTGATTAATTATTAACGAGAAAAAAAGGGCGGAATTGTAAACTAAGAATGTGCGATAAGAATAAGAGATTTAATTGGGCTACAAATTTTTTGTTACTTTGTACAAACAGCTCCACTTTCTTGTCTCTAGAATCCATATTACATAGAATATCGTACAAACGCAATTGTTTGTTTATAGACTAAGCCGCACTTACTTTATTAGCATCCCTTTTTATTACCACTTTGTTTTGTCTCAGAGGCAGATCAAAGCAAGGTGTCCATGAAGCGTCTTTACACAAAAACTGGAGTACCCCCCTCCCCTTAAGAAAGAGTAAAAATAGTTGGTATAAGGGCAAAGGAATTATGCCCAACACAAAGTGTGAAGTGTGATTCCTTATTACCTACTCATTTGCACTATTCAGTTTTAACAATAATTGCAAGTCACGTCTTTGTGGCTATGTTGATCGTCTCTAACAAACTAGCTTTTAGTTGGCGTCTTTTGTTGTACCAGAATGGTCGCAAACCGTCAATTGTTTTTGTAAGTTGCTCGGAGACAACTTTGTCTTTATCCCACTCTACCATGAGAAACCGCAGTTATTATCAAATGAATATAATACTAAACGAAGCAACTTAAACAGAAAATAAGAAATCCCCTTAGTATAGAATATTTTGACATTTTTATTTACGACCAACACACTTGGACACCCGAAGTACAAAATGTGATCACTGAGGGAGTAGGGATCGTGCTTTGAATACCAATACATTGTTAGATTTATGTACAGTGAACAAATGGTAAAATAAGTTTGAATTCATGTCATAGTAAAGATAACTGGAATGTTGGGAACCAATTAGATTATGTTATGTCAATAAAACATGAGGTCGATAGAAAATCTTTTTTTCAATAAAAAGTCATATAAAATTATACCATTGAGTAGAATGATTATTGTATGTACACATTCAATTTAACTTTCTGTAAGTAGTTTGGGTTTTTACCAAGTAAAGCCAAGCCTCTTTTTGCTTTTTGCCGGATCACCATAGATTTTCGTATGATGTCCTTGTATGGTAGCGGTGGAATAATTAGGCAGTTGTACCCCAGATCCATCAGAGACCAATAAGCTGGGTCTCAGACCGTTTTTCCCTTCAAACTTAGGTCCTCTTCCTCCGCCTGGGCCTTCCCGTGCGGCCTTGATAAGAGGATAAGGATTTCGTTCACGATCTCGGGCATTCTTGATTATTTTAGCAGCGTACTCTTGGAACTGGGCCTCTTCCTCCAACATGGACTTTTCGTTCACGTGGTCAATGCGAAGGTCATTTCTTTGCAGCTCTTCCTTTTGTACTATCAGCTCGTCCTAGAAATAAAAATGGAAGAAAATTGTGAGAACAGTCTGCACCTCACCTAAATAAATCGGGTACCCTGAGGACAAATATTTTAAACTCACAGCCGCCATGTTAGATGAATTTAACAAAACATTCGTCATTAGTCTCTTTTGTTATATCATCCAACATGGCCATTGGGTCAGTTTTGTTATTTCGTTTTCTTGGTAATGATTGAAAACCTGCAATAGCTTTCACGCGGTTTAAAACTTATGAACCACAGGTTTACACCTGTTTCGATACTAATCAAATACCCAGGATCCCCATAGCAATAAGTATTTTGTCTTYCTTGTATCAAAATAGTAACCATAACGACCATCATAATTTTGATAAAACTGTGGAGCTGTAGACCTACGTAGACTATCCGGAGGTTGCACGATTATCGATGTGTCAAGATTAAGGAAGTCCCTATCTGAACGTTCCTGTGATCATCAAAAGTTTAGACAAGACTTTTCATTTCTTTTGTTTTTCGCTCAACAACGGCCCGACTTCCCAAGCCCTTCGGAAGCTAAAAACGGGATAAATTCATTGGGTGTGGTGCGATCATATTTCAAGCAAAAGACATATTCAACTTACCACTTGTTGTGCCTGGAAATTCTTGAGATCCTTTGCTTCATGTAACTTCTCGAGTTTCTTAGCCTCTTGTTTAGCATGGTACTAGATTAAAAAAATATGTAGAGGAAAGTTCAAAACCAAAAGCACAAATCAGGACTAAATTAATAATTACCCTGTATTATGACATAATTGCTTGCTATCAATCACGTGCATTTTGGAGTTGACTGGGGGGCAAACAAGCGGTTGGCTGGGGGGCAACTAGCGGATGCTAAGTCAAAACATATCAAAATAAGTCCTCAATCTATTGTATTTGACTATTTTCACGACATCAAACCAGAAGATAAGAGATCAAAACAACCTCCAGGATTCTACAAGCCATCAAAAAAGAGCTATTACCGGAAGTGACGTCTATTGATAGCAACCTATAGGTAACTGAGATACACTAACGTGGGGTGGGGTGAGTGGGAACGGGGGCACATGTTCTCACAAAATCCCTTAACATGGTGGATTAATTATAATAACAACCCTGGAATCCTTTTCCCTTTAAAACAGACTTACTAGTTTATCAGATTCAATGCGTTTTCGTAGGATTTCTTTATCTGTCTTTGCTTCAAGAGCAGCCTTTCTCTCCAGCTCTTTCATCTAAAAAAGAAATGTCCATGGTTATATGGAAATGATAAATTTGTGAAATTATTTCTCAAACAGGAAGACGCAATCAAAAACTCCTGAAGATTTAAATCAATCAGCCTAAACAATCTTCCTCGTGTACGATTGAGAAGGTTTATAAACTCCAGTTTCGACTTCCCATTTGCTCAGCCTTAGCCTCAGTTGTGTGTTAAAATTATTAAGTCATTCAAACAAAACATGTGGCATTTTAATCAACATGTGTTGTACGGTAGTATGTACATTTCTTACTATACAATGGACCTTAATGAAAGAAAAGAACACATTTGTACACAATCGAGGCTAAGACTGAGCAAAGGCGAACTCGAAATGGGAGTATTCATGAGTATTGAACCAATATTCATACCCTGTTGACTCTGTGTTCATGTATAGATTTCTGTTCTTTCATTGATTTTTCCATCTTTTCTCTTTCTTCTGCCTAGAATTGAGAATGAAATAGAATGAGATCAAATAAAATAGGGTAAAAGATATTCCAAAATTGATAGCTTAAATGTCCATAGCCAGAAACGACTGCTCAGTGATGTAAATGCAAAAACCTGTTTACCTCTCGTTTAGCTTCTCTCTCTGCCAAAGCCTTGGCAATTCTGTCATCTTCATCATCCACCTTCTGTACCATTTGATCATGTAGCTTTTTACGCATGCGTTCTGTATGCTCTTGAAATGCGCTGAAAAACAATACCAAAACAAAATGTCATTTGGTGTGAAAAATTTATACTTTGTAAATTTATTACATTGCTTTCAAAACTTACGTTGCACAAGAGTATGCAACAGCCATTTGATTTACCCAATCAATTTGACAATTGCAAATAGAGAAAAACAAAACAAAACAATCACAAAGAACAGTACAGCAGATTTTTCCCATTTCACTTACTTGAACAACTCTAGTTCCTTTTCCTTGCGCATTTTGGCCATTTTCTGAAGAAATGGGAAAAGCATGAGTAAGATACTGTTCTATAAGTTAAAATAATATCTTTAATAATAAAATAATTATAAATAATATACCTTTTTAGCATTTGCAAACTGCCTTATTTCTTCTTCTTCCTCCTCTTGTCGTTGCTGTTCTTCTTTACGAAGGCGCTGTTGTTTAAAAAATAAAAATTGGCACCAATGAATTTTGTTCTGCTTTGTTCAGATCAGCTTTAGTTAAGAAATTTCAAGTCTTAAAAGTGTCTGGGCCTGCCTCCTTACCTCTCTATTAGCAAGGTGATATTTGTGATCCTCCATTAGAGCTGCCTTGTCCTAGAAGATAATTTTGGATGAATTAGAATGAAAAGACTGATCTTCATGATTACAATATATAGAAAGAGTGGCTAATGAAGATAATGACATGATATTTTTCGGGGAAAAGTCAAGGTAAAGTCCTTTAGTTTGAGGTTGGTTTACAGCCTTCCACACAGATAAGCACCTTATGCTTCATTGTCATTAACTGATGTTACCCACTTACGTACCTTTCTCTTCTGCTCCTCAATTGCTGCCTTTGCAGCCTCATACATTTCTATCTGCTGCTTCACGTTTTTGCCTTCTTGAAGCTCAGCTTTCTTAGCAAGACTGGATTCTTCAATATGATCTGAAATCCTGAAGAAATCGGAATGAAATTTTATCAATAAAAAAATACAACATATGTCTTAAATTTCAATGAAAATCACTACTACATGTTCTCTTCTATGGTGAGCCAGTCTGTAGAAAACTAAACAAATCTAACTCAACCACTTTCTAGTTCTCCAAATACTTATTTAATACAGCACGGAAGGAGGATCTTGTACACTATTTGTGGTTTCATTGTTATACACCTTATTTACAGGCCCATAGCTAGGACCTTGTAATGGGAGGTTCATTTGTCTACAAATCTTAGTTATGCCATTTTTTGAAAAACGAAAATAGCATCAAACATTATTTCTTATCCTACAAAAGTGGAGAGGTGAGGTTTGTTCAAACCATCCCTAGCAACTAGCCTGACCTATATATCTACCATAATTTCTGGCAACTCATGAAACCCAGCTTATGATAATGAAGATTATTCTTCTATCAATATCTAGATGTTAATACAAATAACTTACTGCAAAAGTTGGAAGGCAGACAGATCCCTCCTATCATTATATCTTTTAAGTGCATTCTTCTGATCTTGCCTTATAGCTTCCTCATATTGCTGTTAATAAAAAATATTTTATAAATCTTTCATTTAAAGTATTCAATTGAAAAAAAGCTCCTAGATGTATGACACTATTAACACAAATAGTTCTTGATGTCTTACCCTTTTCTGTAATCTCATCATGTGTTGATCTCTTATTTTATCAGCATTCACTTGGCTGTTCTTCATCTTTACCTGTGCTTCTCTTTCTTTCATGACTTCTGTAAGCAACATTGCTCCCTACAATATCATATGAATCAATATCAATACTAGTCCAAATGTATATATGTACATGTACCAAATGTATGTATATGTGTATGTACTGTGCCATATGAGAACTTTTCACCATCATTGTGATTAAAATTGTTAGTATCATTAGATGGTCAATTGTAGAAAATTGTACAGGCTGATTCATTGAGAGCTTTAGAGCATTTTTGAAAATCACATAAGGAGAATATTGGATTTTGTGCAAACTATTGGTTGGTGCTTGCAGCTCTCAAAAAAACAAAATAAATAAATAAATTTCAGAAATAAGCCAATGTCTATTTTCTTTCAAATAATCATCTGTGTAATGACACTAAAGCAGTTTAAGACTCAGTGTTTAACAGTGAATATTTACCTCCAACTCAATAAAACTCATGGCTATAGTAAAGTTTCACTGATAATGTTTTCACATTTGGCAAATAGTGGTAATTATAATTTTTACTAACTTACATGGAATGTCTTCACTCTGTCTGTCTGGTAGTATTGTTGGGTCTTGGCTCTTTCTATTGCTTCTTTCCTTTTCTTAGCCTGAAGTTTGGCTTCTTCAATGTCAATTTTAACTTTTTCCTCCTTTAAATTTTGCAAGAAAATAACTTTTTTTTTTAAAATAATAAGTTTCATTTTTCAAAGCTAGATTGTTTTAAGTTTAAAGGGACATTAATTAGATCTGTTTCTTTTATATGAAAATACTGTTGTTGTTGTTTTATTTACAACAGCATTAGGGGGAGGGGATCATGGAAATATTAAAGCACTTCGCTTTTTAAACATTATTTTAGCTTATTTTCTAACCTCTTCCTTTTCTTCTCTGATTCTTCTTGCTTGAAGCTTTTTAAGTCTTTGCCCCTATTAGTAGCAATAGAATTAAATTAGAACCAAAGTGTCTTGAAATATTCACAATAATTGTTACTAAGCTCATTATGTAAGGTAAAATTCAGCTGGTTTCGATCATCTATCTGGAATATTTTTGAGGTAAAAAACAACGGCATTCGCACTTTTTTCTGCTTTGTTGAGAATTAATCTTAAATATGAAAAATACTATAATTATGATTTATCTCTTTTAGATTGAGCCGTACCTCGATTGTATTGTCCCAGTGTTTGACCGTCTCTTTCGATAGATTATGAAGAGCTTCTCTTTCTTCATGTAATGCTCTTAACCTCGCTTCTTCCTTGTTGTACCCTGACAGGCTGTTTTGAATCCTATTCCAGTCACCTGGTTGCAAAACTACCACCTTAAGAAAGTAAATTATTATTTGAGCAAGGCAAAATAGTAAAAAATAAAACCTTAGAAGACAATAAAAAAGTTAGAAACCCCCAGAAAGTAAAGTGGCCTCTTTACTCACATCTCTTTCTGTACATCCGCTTGGAACAACGCTAAGCGATGGATCTCCATACTCTAAAAGAAATATTCCACACATTAGCCAAGGTTTTGGGTTGTTACTTTTTATTTTCTGGGAGATATTACCTCTTTTTTGGCCCTCTCTCCTGCCATGCATTATCGTTGAAGCCATCATGAATGTACTGCTGAAGATTCTGTGTAAGCAATCGTTGTTATGGCAACATGGTGCTTCAACCAAAACCTCGCGAGGGGTTCTGGGTAACAGGGTTTGCATTGAATTATGGGATATTTAGCGATACCGCAAAGCATCTTGGGGTTTATTTATATTTTTTTAAATTGAAGAGTTTTCAAAGGTAAAGTATGAATTATTTACATTTTTCTCTAGTTTCTTTAAATTTATGTATCAGTTTTTGTTTTCCAACAACGTTTTCAACCATTTGCTAAGTCTTTTTCTAGAAACGAAAAGGTATACTTTTGCATTTTTACTTCTACTCTGATCATAATGTCCTCTGATGACTTTCGTGTCATACATTTACAATCACGTTTCTTAAATCGGAAAAAAACAAATGCGCTGAATTCCAGTTCAATTGATGTAGAAATATGTGCTAGCTCATGAAAAGTTGTAATGTTTGTGAATCTTTCCAAACCTGATGTTTGAACAGCGGTAGTCAAAAAGATATCCTGAAATAGCTGATTGGGTTGCTTTGTCATAGACAGGAGCAGATCCAGATTTTTTTAGATCCAGATTTTTTTTAGCATTAACATTAACATTAACATTAGGGCGGGGGGGGNGGGGGTTGCATGATGCACTGTTGGACACCCCTCTGGATTCCCATTCGCCTCTGATAGAGGTAGTTGGTAATACGTAACAGGCTCTTATTTATAAAACCTACCTGTCAGCCATATATCAATAGTATACTTTACCATCTGCTGAAAAACTTGTATGGCATGTCTTGTTCTTCAGGACTGGCTTTGGTGAATATGGAACAACCCAGGCCCAGAATCCTCATAGTATTTGATTTTGACCATACATTAGTAAATGGTAACACAGATACATGGATTACAAAGCTACATGAACCAACAATGGCTGCCATTAAAATTAACAGAAAGAGGGGCTTGTGCTGGACAAATATCATGGATCTAGTGTTCCAACAACTACATGAACAAAACTATTCTAGACAAGATCTTGAAAAATGCTTGGAAACACTGAAGTTTATCGAAGGAATGAAGGAAACCTGTGAACATATCTGTGACAGTAAAATCCCTGCGATCATTATTTCTGACTCCAATACATACTTCATTGATCATCTACTGAAGAGAGACAATTTAAGCCATGTTTTTTCACATGTAGCTACTAATCCTGCTCAGTGGAATGAAAATGGTCGCCTTCAAGTTACAAGATACCATAGCCACGGCTGTAGCTTTTGTCCAAAGAATTTGTGCAAAAAGGAGGTGCTGACTAATTATGTAACTGAACAAATGAAAGAGAATAATCCATTTGATCATATTATTTATGTTGGTGATGGGAAAGGAGACTTCTGCCCTGCATTATCTCTTGAGAGTAAGGATTATATCTTGGCAAGAGAAGAGTACCAGTTGCTTGATCTACTGAAGGAACAGTCAGTCAAGTCTGGAGTGGAAGCACAGATTGTCCCTTGGACTTCTGGATTTCAAGTTTTGGATTTGGTTAAAAAGTTGTGCAACAATTTCAAAAAGTGATTAAGTATACCTTAATAAATAAATTTAAAATGGTTGATAAATGATTGGAAGCTTGCAAGTAAAATTTCTGTTATAATTATGAAATATGTACAAATTTACATATTGATTAATGCACATTGTAATTGTACAATGAGTTAAAATTGCAAGGGTGATAACAAATGGACATTCACAAGCTATAGAATCAAAGTTGCAAAGCACTTTGAAGCACATTGCACCAGCGTCTTATTTTGGCATTGTACAATCATAGAAATCATTCAAAATAATAAGCATTATCTCTTCTTACAACCAGTGGCACGTCATCATATGTACAATCATAGAAATCATTCAAAATAATAAGCATTATCTCTTCTTACAACCAGTGGTACGTCATCACATGTTGTACAATTGGGTTTGTGGAGTTTTTTAACTACATCTTTTATGCACTTTGTTTTGTACTGTTTCCAGTTATAGTCATCTAAGAAACCCTTGAATGCTTCTTGTTGTGTTGGGAAAGACTTCATGAGCCTCTGTCTCATTTCTTCCATATATTTTCCTCTGTCTCTCTTCAGCAAAGCTAAGTGGTTGATTAGGACACAACTAACCTATAAATATAATAACAATATCTTCAGTTTAAATTCATTTGTTAACTCAGGGACTACAAAGCCTCCAAATAAATAAAATAAATCAACTTTGTTTATAGAGGATGGAACTTGACAATAATTCAACTCATAAACTCATGGTCCTTTTTGAATGTCTCTAGTTGATTAGGGACGGGACCCAGCACCATTAATATGGTCATCCAAGCCATGTAAAGGTCTAACCATCTTTAAGATGCAATGGATGCAGAAGTCTATAACCAATTATAGGCTTCTGATGGATGCTATATTGTGAATGAGCACTAACCCTTTCTGCAGTTATGATGTAGGTTTTGTCCAAGTCCTCGCCAACACCAAAGAAGTCCCCCTCGTTAAGTGTACGGATGATCAACAACTTCCTTTCTATTTTCTTGTTGGCATAATCTTGTACACTTAAGATGCCATGTTTGGTGTCATTTATAGATGGGAGGGAATATCGCGCTTTACCAGAATTGAAGAGTTTTTTGACGACCATAATTTCCCTGACCACATTGCATTTTCCACTGATGATGAAATAAGCAAAATCTGACGATGCTTGTTTACCACCAAGGATGATCTAACAAAAAAGAAACGGAAAGAAAAAATAGAGTAGAAAATTTTATGACTGGGACAAAGATGTCAAATGACACGGTTACTGTACGGTGATGATAACATCCACTAAACCATTAACAGCACGACAATATCCTACCATTCCAGTGGCGGATCTAGGGGTGGGTTTTGGGGGTTGCAACCCCCCCCCCCCCTATGTGAGCCATCGTGATTTATTTATTTATTTACTTATTTTCTAACAACACCAACAGCATTGCGAGTTTTATTAAAACAGGGGTGCCGAACACATTTCGCTCGCTTTTTTTTTTCTATACGCCGTGTGTGGGACCCGAAACAACCATGCTCGCCAGCAGCAAATAATCATCTCCCTTAACCCTTTGGTCTGCTATATCTCTCAACCACCTCAATCAATGCTGCAACCCCCCCTTTGAAAAAATCCTGGATCCGCCCCTGCATTCAATCCAAATTCTTATTCAGAACTATCATAACTCATCACAAACCTTGCTATGTTGTGGCGTGATCTAGAGCAGATTACATTTAACATGCACAAAAATCTGCTCCAGCACGACAAACCCGTCTTAAGGCTTTTCATTACGCAAGCACTAAAGGCTTTCTCGGTACATCTTCAACAACGAATCTTTCTAACAACATAACTCGACAAGTTCCACCAAAAGTCCTTCCACTCTGCTGTTCTCTTATGAGAGATTTACTTTACATAGTAGGAGAACGTATGCCTCAAGGCAATACTAATATTTCCTCTGCCTTCTAACGAAAGTGTCCCTCAAGTTTCTACACTGTCGGTCAGAGCACGAACCAATCTCCTCACCTACCTGGGCCTTAAGCAAGTTTAAAACGGGGACAAATGCCTGGCGAATCCATTTTTGTCTTTACATTTGCCCACGTTCTTTTCCCCTCATTTAAAATCTACGAATAATATTTCGGGCGCACGATGCGACAATGCAGGCAGATATAAAGAAAAATTCAAGTAAAGGAAACAAGATTCGCTCGAGGTCTGCCTCCTCCCTACTCGCACGCACATCGATAACAACGCTTTGAGTCCTGCGTCCATACCTAAGCTATTTACCAGGACTTTGTGAAATCTAGGGGGGTTTGAAAAAATGAGATATAACGACGAATAAGGTGGTCATCGAGTAAACAGGAACTCATCCAGGATCGAGAAACTACGGCGCTTGTGTTCCCTTTTCTCATTAGCAGTTTATTTGAAAAGGTATATATTTTTTGGAAAGGGGAGAGACCACGGGGAAAGTGGGGGGGGGGGGGGGAGTTGGGGGTGGTTTGTTGAGCCTAGTTGGTAGTGACGGATCCCCTCCTAGAAAACCCTGGATTCGCTCCTGGGTGAAGTAAAAGTATTAACTACCATGTCGTGTTGAAAGACACGTATCTTGGTGTGAGGAACAGTCTGTTTTTTCTCGACGTTTGTCCACGTAGCGAAGGCAGGATGCGTCGAAAGAACGGACATCTTTTTTTCGTACTCGATTTGATGACTCATTCGAAGCACCTGATGACACAAGTTGAATTGTTTTTCAATGTGATATTATCTATAGCACAATAATATAAGGTTATCCCAATCTCAATTTAAGAGGGGGTATACACATTAGTACTGGTGCTTATTGAAACTAATAGGATCCTATACCCTGGAAAGGATGGTAGTCCAAAATAACAGGTTACTTCACATCATCTTCTCATCTTATCTCAAGTTCTATCCATTACCCAGTCATGCATCTGGGTGGAGAGATACAGAGCGACTGAGGGTTTTGCACTAAAGCACAAGTTAGAGCATTAGCTAGGGTTTTGCCCTAAACCACAAGTAAAGGCATTGGCTAGGGCTTTAGCTCTCAGCCGTAAGGCCTCAATATTCTGTCAGTATTTCCAACAACTGCGTCATGTTCTTTCCAAGCTATCCAAACAACTCCCTGGTACACAATCATACATCTGAGACATTTGGGTGGAGTAAATGCTTTGCAGCCCAAGACCACAACATTAGTGCATCGATCAGGGCCCGGTTGTACGAAGAGTGGATAGCGCTATACGACGGATAAATCTTATCCAGTGGATCAATTTATTGGATAACAGCAACGACTTATCCACTGGATAACGATTTATCCGCCGGATAGCACTATCCAGGCTTCGTACAGCCGGGCCTAGAACTCTAACTTTCGCGTAGAAAGTCTAAATATATCGCTGCACTAAACCACTTTCCTAACAGACATAAATCAAAATACCATTAAACGAAGCGACTGCATGTACCTCATTGAAATCATCTTTGTCAACAATCAAGAATTCGCAGGAAGTCTTGCAGATGATAGTCGCTGCTCTGCGGATGTCGTGAAGGAGAGCCAACTCACCAAAAGAATCTCCCTCACTCATCTCACCAACAATCTGTGAAAAAACATACAAAACGAACCTCAAAATAGTTCACGTATTTGCCTAATTCAATTGACAATCTTCTGAAAAATCAAATGTGCCACCTAGTATTATCAAGGACCATCCCCCTCCCCCCGTAGCAATGATGTGTCAGTCAAACGTTTCATAGGCTAGAAAGTTTCATAGGCCAACATTTCTAGGGGGAGAGGGGCACATTTATACAAAGATCGTAGACAAGAATCAAATGCTTTGACTTCGCTTTTACAGCTCGTGAACTTACTACGCTCGAGCTGGGAAATGCTATAAATTGCTACCTGTATATGTTTTTCGCCCGTAACCCTATCCTCCTCGATCCTTTCCACGGTTACTGTTCCCGACACGATGAAATAAAATGAAATTCCAACATGACCTACAAAGAAAGAAAATCTATTGAAAAAAAGATTATGGATATCATGTGTGCCTTTTTGACATGGCAGCCAATAGGACCTCACCTTTTGCGCTTGCGCTGAGGCCGGGTAAAGTTACCCTGATGCGCGCGAATGCGAGTCTAACCCACACAAATGTGTTGATCCAGGCAGCATGGTTGCCATAGGAGGAAGGACCATGAAAAGCTAAGTTGAGAGCAAGTTAAATTAAAAGGAAGTCAGTAACAGAGTCAATCGTGCACTGAACCAGTCGGCAGTCGGTCGGTAAGTCAGAGCTAGTTAGTCAGTAAATCAGGCAACAACTGGTGAGTAAGTCAATAGGTCGGTTTGTCTGGTCGGTCAGTCCTTTTATATCGGTCTGTTGGTCGGCCAGCCAGTGAGTTGGTCTGTCACACGGTCAGTCAGTCAGTCACCGTCATTTGGTTACTTTTAGGCTTAATTTAGTTGAACATTTAAGGTAGAGGCTATAAATCCCTTTTAAACCACTGTGCACTCAGCCAAAATACTAACCAATACTAACCTTGTCTAATGATACACCTTCCAGACTGATACTTGCCATGATAAACAACCCTAGCCAGTTCTCGCTTAACATACAGGGGATATCTATTGAAACCTTTCATCCTCTTCACAATTCGAAGAACTTTTTCTACTTCTTCTTTGCTTCTATTCCATGATTGCTTCACCAAGATAGCTTTGACGTCCGGAGGAATAGCTCCACAAGATTGGATGTGCGCTTTGAATGCTGGGAAAGGTTGAGTAAATAGACAATATTTTTTTATTGACAAACTAAGAGTCGGTTTGAATTCGCCATTTTCGCGCTAGCCATCACGTGGTACAAATTGTATGGTATTGTGTTACGGTCACCAAAAATTACGGACATTGTTCTCAGATTCCCGTAACCTTTGTTTATCTGTCTCTCTAAAGAGCAGTAAGAAAAGCTTTGATTAAGTTTTAAAATGATATTTTGCTTGCAATTAGGGAGCTAACTAAACAAATCAAGTAAATAATTCGTATTCGTACAGAACTCCGAAAATCATGTCCGAACCTTTCGGTGACCGAAACACAATCCAATCATTTATTGTGCATGCCACTTGTTGAAGTTGATTCTTTCGTTGGTTAATACTTTAACTTCAAAAAGATCAATTCTCAAGGGAATGTAATGTGATTTGAAAAAGTCATATTGCATATGAAGCTAAAAAGGTATATTTATCATCTGCCGTGCGGGGAATTGGAATAAACTTTTGGGTGGAAAATGTGCGCCACAATCATTCCTTGCGCTGTGGATGCAGCTTTTTTCATTTTCGTTATCACGCCTTGCTATAAACACCTGATAGGTTAGCAAGAACGTCCTGCTAAAGGTCTCTAATATCTCGCAACTGCGGCAATGTTTCGCGAAAATGAACATGTTAATAAAAATAAATCGTTTAAAATTATATTTAAAACAATTTTTGACTTTGACATGACAGACATCGCACCGAAAAAGGAGGGATTGCAACGTATATCTTCCGCTTAATTTTAACGTTTTATCAAATAAGCCGTTTACTTACCATTAACGTTGAAACTTGCCCTATCCTGACCTTGTTCTGTTCCAGTTTGAGCTACGAATCCTTTTGCTTTAGTGTGATCATCACCTTGATGAGCGATGTCCTGAGAAAAAAAGTTATACCAAGAATGAGAGAAAATTAATCAATAAATGAAGGTACGAAGGATTTGATAAAGGAAGGAAAAGAAGGGACGAAACAAAGGGGCTGAACAAACGAACGAACGAATGAACGGATGGGATGGGACGGGGTGGGATGGATGGATGAACGGACGGGCGGACGGACGGACGGACGGACGGACGGACGGACGGACGGACGGACGGACGGACGGACGGACGGACGGATGGGATGGAATGGATGTATGAATAAATGGGTTGAATGCTCACCTCCAGTAATGAACTGAGCTTTCTTTGTTTAGTAATAGCCTTAGCAACTTTCTTAAAATTCCTCCTGACAGCAGAACGCATTTTGCTTTCTTCAGAGGGTGGTTTATTCTCATCATGCTGCTCTGTTTTATCCTCAGTTTCTTTCTTTTCTTTCAAAATACGATAAGATGACAACAAATAATGATCAACTGAACTTCTCTTTCGGGAACCAGCATTGCCAAACCCTATATCCTCTGTGCCTGAATGACTGTCTTCGTCTTCGATGTCTAAATCCATGACGTCATATATTGGTTAGCTGTGATTGGCCATCCGTGTACTTTAAGCTAATGAGAAAAGATATACAAAAATTAGTGTTTCTTATCGTGAAAAGTTAATAGGCCTTTATCACACTGCAATACAAAACAAATAAAGAATAAAAAAACCTTTGTTTAACCACGCGTAACATTATCCTGAAGCATTTGAATGCGAGGTTAAGCGTAGAAAATATTATTTTTCCAGTCAACATGGCTGCCAACATGCTGATAAAGGTCAATGTTAAACCGAGTAAGGTTGGTTTACGTATTAAAGTCAATGTGCCGTTTGGGATAGAATGGATGGATGGATGAGATGGATGAGATGGATGGATAGATGTGTTAAACCAATGCCTGCCGTCTGAGAAAGGTCCATGTTAAACCGAGTATGTTTGGTTTTTGTATTAAAGTCAATGTGTCGTTTCTTTCGATGTTTTGGTCAGCAAATGTTTTAAAAATCTCACATAGGTGCATTCATTTTTTCATCAATGAACAAGACTAAAGGACAAAAATCTTCTGATGAGATCTTCATTACCTGAGTTGAAAATGGTTTTAAAGTAGATTTCAGCAGAGTTCGTGATTTTCTCTTTCATCGTGTTCAACATGATCAACATGTTCTTTTAAGATATTCTAATTGATAGAACTCATTACGCAAGAATGGCAACCTGGCGCGCGCATTTAACTCAGAGGCAGTTTTCAGTTGCGCATGCGTATTCTTCGGTCGAGATGGAGAACCAAGCTTGAATGTTGATTGAATGCAGTTTCAATAAGCTGTAGACCATGTAATGTAAGAGATGGCACTTTTCCATTTTGTACTGAAATTGCATAGTTGATCTATTTGACTGTCATACGTCCTAAGTCTCTTTTTCTTTTTCTTTTTTTTTTTTTTTGATCTCTTCATTTTGATATCATGGGTTGCCTGTGGTCCCATTGGGTATCATGCACGCGCGCGTTTCTAAGTCTGTCGATACTTCCAGCTTTATGACGTCAGGCTTCGATCGTTTTGTCAAAATAAAATAGAAAAGCAAAGCAAAGCAAAAGCTGATATTCTATTGCTAAAAATTGATCAAAATCCTGTTAAAAATGCTTAGAAACGAAATAGAGAAGACTGTTGATACTTTGGAAGCCGATGAGTTTGTTAAACGAAAGACGAAGATGATTTTTAAAGATATGGGTACCTTCAATCGAGTTTCTATCAGGACACAAAATAAATGGGCTATCGAAAATTTAAAATCCCTTGAAACTCGCCAACGTAAAGGTTGTAGACGGCTTGGTCCGTCGCAGCAAGAGGACGAGCAAAGGTTGACTTTTAATGTGAATGGTAAGTTGTTCATAGCTATTTGATAGCTATTTCACCGACAGAATTACAAATGCTCTTAATTTACAATTAGAAAAACTAATTGGATGGATAATTGAAAAGTGAAATACCACGAAGTTAACTACATTGAAACCTTTCCTTATTTGCACCTCTATATTACGGACATCTCTATATTACGGACAGATCTATATTACGGACAGATCTATATTACGGACAGATCTATATTACGGACAGATCTATTTTACGAACAGATCTATATTACAAGAGGAAAAAGAGGGAACCCCTCCCAGGCAGGCTACCTAATAACTATTAATTGAAAAACCCGCTTTGGATAGTGAAGCGCCCAGTGTTCATAGTGGAATCACATTATAATTACATTTGCTGTTGACTTTATCGGTCGGGGATCAGCGCTGCGCAACCGTGCGTGCTAAATATAGCGTTTTATAATAGGACGTTTGCATGCTGGCGTCATTTGACTCCCACTACCATAATTCTTCGCGAATTTTCTTCCTTATTTAAATTTGTATTCCCTCATAAGAATAGTAAGACAATTTGTGGTAATTAACTGAACAAAAGAAAGTGTGCAAGGGAGTCTGGTAGTAGAGGACAATGACGCCATGACGTCCTAGACGACTCACATAGCTTTCAGGTTCACTGTCAAATCTTGAACCAGAAGTCTTGTCATTCAGCTCACTCAAGAAAGACGAATTTTCCCTCTGATTTATCGATGAAGGCGAGGATTTAAATTTGCCGCCATGCCAAATCACTAGCCTGGATTGCTGTCTGAGTCAGTCATGAAGCCACTGCGTACCGTCGAGCAGTGCTATTACTAGATTGCAATGCAATCAAATATGATCATCTTACCTTGTTTTAACACTGTTTTTGGTGTTCTCCAGCATTCAAGTCACACGTGCGTCCAAATTTCGTCCTAACGAAGACCACCAGACAGCACCTTATGATGCCACGCCTCAAGAGAACTGCCACACATCTAAAGGTGTTCGCTGCTATCATCGATAACCTCAAACTATTTGCCACCTACCCACATAGTGTTCGACAAGGACTCGCAAAGATCGCTAACTATGAAGCTTGTGAAGAAGGGACGGTGATTGTTAGACAAGGTATTTACTTATGGACAGTGAACAAGTTTCTTGTCATTAAATAATTTGCTTTTCAGCTTATGTTCACTACTTTCCATAGATTAGCTCACTGGCCAAACACAAGCATTCATTGGCACCAATGACATCCGCATACCATACACGTTTTTGGAACCAATTCTTTTGTTGCAACAAAATGTTTGCTTGATTCAGACATCCCTAAATGATAGGAGACAAGTGACATTTATTGTTATTCAAATAAAATATCTTAACTTCAACTCCTTTTAACGTTATCTTGGAGGTAAGGCTAACCTGAAAAATACAAAAGAAATCACTCCTTATCTCGATGGGATTAGTCTCGCATCCACTGAGGGTAATTTTGAAAGGGTTCTATTATTAGCTCAGTTGGTAAGTGCGTCGGTCTGTTGTGCGGGTGGTCGTGGTTCAGGCCTCGGCCGGACCAACACTCACCAACACTCTCCTCTTAAAATAATTGAGGAGAAGGTGTAATTACATCTGCAAATGGTTAGACCTTCAATTCTTCTCGGACAAGGACTTAAAAACCGTAGACCCTGTCTCCCAACCCTTCCTAGCCTACAGTAAATGGGGGACATAAAAGAACCTGTTGAATTATTCGAGTAAGACTAGGGGATTGTCAACAGCCTATCCCAATATGGAGGCATAATACTAATCTACTAACAATTCACACATGGCGCCTTAATACGCAGCCCGTAAATGTAAAGCGCATGGAGATATTTGAAATGCGCTATAGAAGTACCCCATTATATCGTTGTCATTGTGTTTTGTATATATCAGGTGATACTGGTCATTCGTTGTACTTCATTCTGACTGGTAGTGTCTCGGTGGTAGTCGCTGAAGACGACACGAACCTTCATGAGAGTCGAAAACAGGTGTGTAGTAGAACTCATCAAACGTGGATCCTACGAAGGGTTGGCGTCTTGCACTACTCGAGAAGGTTATTGGCAAAAGTAGAAAAACTAGACACAATATGACAAACTAGGCATGCGGAGCATCACCAACCAACCGTACACTAGTATCTAGTATAAATGTGCGATGGCAACTGTAGACTGACATTAGTTTGAAAATTCAATATCGAGAAGCAAGAGATGGATTTAGTGATGTTGCTCTGCATGGTAGTGAAATATGTTGTTATTCTGCGATATTGGTTGTTAGTGATGACGGTAATGATAGTGGTGATGATAAATAATGATGGTGATGATAAAAGGGATGACTTATGGGGATGATGATGATAATAATGATGATAATGATGAAGACTGATGGTGACGATAATAATAATGATGTTAGTGGTGGAGATGATGATGATAGATGATGATGAATGATATTGGTGATGATGATGATAATCATTGATGGTGACGATGATGATAATGATGATGTTAGTGGTGGAGATGATGATGATAGATATTGATGACTGATAGTGGTGATGATGTTGTTGAATCGCAGTTTTATCCAACATGTTATCTTGAATGCTTTGTTTCTCCAAGATTTACCCGCATCGTGCTATTTTTTTCCATATCAGACTGTTGCCGCGATGTTTGCTGGTGACATGTTTGGAGAAGTGTCCCTGTTACATAACATTGAACGAACAGCAACAATCATATGCAGAGAAAGATCCGAATTCCTGAGGATTGATAAACCAGATTTTAATATGGTGAGAATGATTGCACAATTTCATCTCCACTTTGACTCCGCTAACATCTATACCTCTGCTTACCTTAGGCGTAGAGTGTTTCTATTTCAGACCACGTGTCATTCACAAAAGAATACGATTCTACATTAATGGGCCATTTGCAACAAACAGTCACTACCTGATATTTCACTTTGAAAACGAATCAATTGCCCACTTTCGAGATATGCTTCGCCTGTCAACAAAGGTTTCAGTACGAGGCTACGTGCTAAATTAAATTTATTCTTTTGTCCGTTCACGAATCACTGGGCATTATGCACGAAGCCTCACATGGAAACCTTTGTGCGTGACAAGCGAGGCTTGTCACGTAGCTTCTTCTAAAAATGTTGCATCACCCCCCAATTCTCTGATAAAAGTTTTCAACCCCCC